GTAAGAATCGGATCATACTCGAAATCACTAGGGCTCTTATGATTGAGTCAAATGTTCCGATTTATTACTGGCCCGAAGCAATTGCAACCACCATTTACCTCATAAATCGCCTTCCAACAAAAATCCTAAATCATAAAACACCCATTGATACACTCGCAAAATTTTCCACTGTTCCTACCTTCTTAACCCTCACTCCTCGTGTGTTTGGTTGCACTGTATATGTACATATTCCAAAAGCCAAACGAACAAAATTTGATCCTTGTGCTGTCTGATGTGTCTTTGTTGGGTATGGGGTTCACAAAGAGGGATACAGGTGTTATGATCCTATTTCTCGTCGGATGTACACGACAATGGATTGTAATTTTTTGGAAACTGAGTACTATTTCCAAAACCACTCTAGTAGTCAGGGAGAGAAAATTACGAATGACTCTCTAGAGTGGTTACACAGCCCAGTCTTGCCACCTGAGATTGTCCCAACCGAGGAAGTAAGTTACTCCGTGAGATCATCTTTTGAGAACATTGAACAGTCCAACAACTCTGAACTCATGTCTGATTCTACTCCGTCTGAAAAGACTCCTGAGGTTAGTATTTCCCCCACTCTTGATGATTGCATTGATAAATCTAATGATACCGTGGAAGAATTGAATATATCAAACAAATATGTTCTCCCACCACGGAAGAATCGGGGAATTCCTCATGTCAGATATGAACCAGAATACATACCTCGGAACTCAAGATATCCTGTTGCTGATCTAGTCAGGGGGAGTGTATCACAGGCACTTCACACATCCAGCCATGAAGTCCCTAGAACAGTGGACGAAGCCATACGAATACCAGAATGGAGAAAAGCAATGGAGGAGGAGATGAAGGCACTAGAGAAAAACAACACATGGGAGAAATGTCAACTCTGCCCGGGAAAGAAACCAGTCGGATGCCGATGGGTATTTACAGTCAAACACAAAGCAGATGGAACAATCGAGAGATATAAGGCCAGATTGGTAGCTAAAGGATATACTCAAACTTATGGTATTGACTACTCTGAGACTTTCTCACCAGTAGCTAAAATTGATACTATCCGAGTATTATTCTCCGTAGCAGCTAATCTAGATTGGCCCTTATATCAGTTTGATGTGAAAAATGCTTTTCTCCATGGAGAGCTAAAAGATGAGGTTTACATGGAAGCACCACCTGGGTTCTCATCGAATTTCAGAGAAGGCGAAGGTTGTAGATTGCGAAAAGCTTTATATGGTCTGAAACAATCTCCACGCGCATGGTTTGGTAGATTTACGATAGCCATGAAGAAATATGGATATCGTCAAA